TGATCAATTTTAGAGTAAATGTGATGTGGTACTGAGAAGAATGTATATTCTGTTGATTTGGGGTGGATATCTATTAGGCCTACTTGGTCCAGAGCTGAATTCAAGTCCTGAATATCCTTGTTAATTTTGTGTCTCATTGATCTGTCTGATATTGACAGCGGAGTGTTAAAGTCTGCCATTATTATATAGGAGTCTACGTCCTTTTGTAGGTCTCTAAGAACTTGTTTTATGAATCTGGGTGCTCCTGTATTGGGTGCATATATATATATATAGGATAGTTAGCTCTTCTTGTTGAATTGATCCCTTTACTATTATGTAATGGCCGTCTTTGTCTCTTTTGATCTTTGTTTTGGTTTAAAGTCTGTTCTATCAAAGACCAGGATTACAATCCCTGCTTTTTTTTTTTTTTTTTTTTTTTCATTTGCTTGGTAGATCTTCCTCCATCCCTTTATCTTGAGCCTATGTGTGTCTTTGCACATGGAATGAATCTCCTGAATACAGCATACCAATGGGTCTTGACTTTTTATCCAATTTTCCAGTCTGAGTCATTTAATTGTGGCATTTAGCACATTTACATTTAAGTTTTATATTGTTATGTTTGAATTTGATCCTGTCATTATGATGCTAGCTGGTTATTTTGCCCATTAATTGATGCAGTTTCTTCACAGCATTGATGGTCTTTACAATTTGGCATGTTTTTGCAGTGGCTGGTACCAGTTGTTCCTTTCCATGTTTAGTGCTTCCTTCAGGAGCTCTTGTAACACAGGCCTGGTGGTGACAAAATCTCTCAACATTTGCTTGTCTGTAAAGGATTTTATTTCTCCTTCCCTTATGAAGCTTAGTTTGACTGGATATGAAATTCTGGGTTGAAATTTATTTTCTTTAAGCATGTTGAATATTGGCCCCCACTCTCTTCTGGCTTGTAGGGTTTCTGCAGAGAGATCCGTTGTTAGTCTCACAGACTTCCCTTTGTGGGTAACCCGAGCTTTCTCTCTAGCTGTCCTTAACATTTTTTCCTTCATTTCAAACTTGGTGAATCTAACGATTATGTGTCTTGGGGTTGCTCTTCTCGAGAAGTATCTATGTGGTGTTCTCTGTATTTCCTGAATTTGAATGTTGGCCTGCCTTGCTAGGTTGGGGAAGTTCTCCCAGATAATATCCCAAAGAGTGTTTTCTAATTTGTTTCCATCCTCCCGGTCTCTTTCAGGTACACCAGTCAAACGTAGATTTGGTCTTTTCACATAGTCCCATATTTCTTGGAGGCTTTGTTCATTTCTTTTCACTCTTTTTTCTCTAATCTTGTCTTCTCACTTTATTTCATTAACTTGGTCTCCAATCACTGATCACCTTTCTTGCACTTGATCAAATTGGCTATTGAAGCTTGTGTATGCTTCATGAAGTTCTTATACTGTGGTTTTCAACTCTGTCAGGTCATTTAAGCTCTTCTCTACACTGGTTATTCTAGTTAGCCATTCGTCTAACCTTTTTTCAGGGTTTTTATCTTCCTTGTGATAGAACATGCTCCTTTAGCTCAGAGAAATTTGTTATTACCGACCTTCTGAAGCCTACTTCTGTCAGCTCGTCAAACTCATTCCCCCCCCAGTTTTGTTTCCTTGCTGGTAAGGAGTTGTGTTCCTTTGGAGGAGAAGAGGCATTCTGGCTTTTGGAATTTGCAGCCTTTCTGCTCTGATTTCTCCCCATCTTTGTGGTTTTATCAACCTTTGGTCTTTTATGTTAGTGACCTATGGATGAGATTTTGGTGTGGATGTCCTTTTCGTTGATGTTGATGGTATTCCTTTCTGTTTGTTAGTTTTCCTTCTAACAAACAGGCCCCTCAGCTGCAGATCTGTTGGAGTTTGCTGGAGGTCCACTCCAGGCCCTGTTTGCCTGTGTATCACCAGTGGAGGCTGCAGAACAGCAAATATTGCTGCCCGATCCTTCCTCTGGAAACTTCATCCCAGATGGGCACCCGCCTGTGTGAGGTGTCTGTCAGCCCCTACTGGGAGGTATGTCCCAGTCAGGCTACACGGGGGTCAGGGACCCACTTGAGGAGGCAGTCTTTCCATTATTGGAGCTCAAACGCCATGCTGGGAGAACCACTGTTCTCTTCAGAGCTGTGAGGCAGGGACGTTTAAGTTTGCAGAAGCTGTCTGTTGCCTTTTGTTCAGGTATTCCCTGCCCCCAGATGTGGAATCTAGAGAGGCAGTAGGCCTTGCTTAGCTGTGGTGGGCTCCACACAGTTCGAGCTTCTGGGCCGCTTTGTTCACACTGTGAGCATAGAACCACCTACTGAAGCCTCAACAATGGCCGACATTGCTCCCACTGCCAAGCTCTAGCATCCCAGGTCAATCTCAGACTGCTGCGCTAGCAGCAAGCAAGGCTTCTTGGTTGTGGGACCCACCTAGCCAGGCATAGGAGGGAATCTCCTGGTCTGCCAGTTGCGAAGACCATGAGAAAAGCACAGTATTTGGACATGAGTGTACCATTCCTTCAGGTACAGACACTCATGGCTTCCTTTGGCTAGGAAAGGGAAATACCCTGACCCCTTGCACTTCCTGGGTGAGGTGACACCCCACCCTGCTTTGGCTCACCCTCCATGGGCTGCACCTACTGTCCAACCAATCCCAATAAAGTGAACCAGGTACCTCAGTTGGAAATGCCGAAATCACCTGTCTTATGCGTCAATCTCACTAGGAGCTGTAGACCGGAGCTGTTCCTATTTGGCCATCTTGGAAGCGCCTCCCCAAGGAATCTGTTTTTAACAGGATCACTAAGAAGAGTGGGGAAAAGATGGTTTTAATAAATAATTTGGAGCAAATAGTAACTAAACAAGAAAAAAAGTATTTGGATTGAATAACATTGCTTGTTTTATGTGGTGCAACTGCATGTTACTCTCTTCATGATACATTTCTTTAGGAGTGATACATTTTTAATGAAAATAGAAGGAATGTTTTAAATATGCATTTTCCAAGGTGCCCCTATTACCTGTGTTGCTACAATCTATGGACTATCTTATTAATAAGCTTTTCTTAGGTATGTAATCTTCAGGATGTCTTTGTGTATTTCCAACATCTCTTCTTCCTGACTCAAGCCCATATGTCATGGTTTAATGATAGTACTGTAACTAGTAATCTGGGCAACTAATGTGAATATGCCCTCTATCCCATTGTGGCAGTGATAAAGCTTTGTCCAATCATTTTTCAGGTACGTTTTACATACTTTGGGAAAAAAAAAAAAACTTTGCTGAAGGTACTAGAGAAGAGACAGTTCTGCTGACAACCCTTGAGAAAATAATTTTCTACCTCCTTAGGATTAGAAGACCAGTTCATTCTTAGTGTCTTCTGAAATAAAATTAGGTAAGAAATGTTTTTCTTCTTATTTTGCGTAATTTGTACTGTGCTTACTCAATTTCCTTGAAAGCTTCTATAATTCTCTTCCTTTGGCCTCTAAGAGAATACAGTTAGCATTCTCCTTTAGGAAGTCAGTGTGCCAGCCAGCTGTCAGCTTTATGATTTACCTGATCTCCAATGTTAGAGAAAGCACAATTCGATTTTTAACCAAGTCTTCTACACAACACTGCAGCAGGGCCACCAGCATCTCTCTTTATGTTCCTTTCTTTGAAATTCCCCATTCTATGCAAACGGTATACTTTTATTTTTAAATTCTTCATGTGAGATGAAACCACCACTAACTGACTTTACTTGTCTTTAGTTCAAAATCAATGAACTGAATGAAATAATTAGTATTTTTGTTACCCTTTCTTATTTCTAGGAAATAAAATACCACTGCTTGTTTAACTTGTGACTTGTCTAAACATGTTGAAAGCATTGACTATAAGGCATAACACTCAGACTCTGAAAGGAACTGTGACAAGTTCAGTCAAAAGGGAAAAGAAGAATAATTTATAAAAGGCGCTGCAGATAATGATGCCAGCCAGTTATTTTAAAATGCATCCATCTCACCTTTTAATGAATTAGATTTGTCAACAGCAAATGTTTTATGCACTACTTCTAATAAAAATGGCATGCTAGGAATGCAGTGCTTTGAGGTTGGCTTCTTCAAAGCTTTAGAGTATCTTCAATCCAAAGATATTTTTTAAATAATAGATATTAAAAAGTATATTTAAATATTATTAAGGTTGTGACACAAACACCAATGACAAAATTCAGGAGTTTCAAAGCAGAGGCTGACATGCTATCACAATTTCACATTAGAACTGTTTTTTAAATTAGGAGTATAACAGACTGATTTGGGGATTGTGTGTCAGTTTAACTTTAAATTCTCTGGTTGTTTTGGTTGGTGTCACAACCTTAATGTCAACTTTTCAAATAGGTTTCTACATTTCCTTTGGTTCGGGGTCATTAAAAAATGCATGTGATAAATCCAAGAGGCATAAATAGGTCATACAGAAGTGGAATTCCTTGCTCCTCTGGAGCTGAGAGACAGCTAATTTATAAATGGAAAACAGTTAGCTTAGGCATTTTCATTAAATTTATGTTTTTCAGTATTTGATTAAGAAAAATGTAAACTCAAATAACAAGACATGATGTTGGTATATTTCTGTTGAAATTCTATTCCTCTTGTACCTCTAATCCTAATGATTTGATCTTGTTGGTGTTATCACCTCTATAGATACAAAGAACCTCATATTTCACTATTGATATTTTTTTCACTAAGAGCACATGTTTAATTTCATTTTGTGAATGCTTATTTGATATAATTGAGTACAGGTAAGCCCTGTCTTGGAAAGTACATCTGGCAATCCTTTATATAAAGCATTGTTATGCAGAGTTTTTGGTAAAATCTTACTATTTTAAAATAACACTTGTCATAGAAAGTAAAATGAAAGTAAAATCCTATGTGTTGTGTGTTTTTTAAAAAACCTAGTACCACAGCAGACAAAGGAGCAGCCAGGAACACCAATCTGTAGGGAAAGAGAAAGGGCAGAGAGGAAAGAATAATCCACTTACCCAGATCCCTCCCTTTTCCTTGATTCTTATCTGTCATGATTTTACTTGGCAGGTCTGTATTGCCTATGTTGAATCTAGTTTTGATTTAGAAAAATAAATGTAATAGAATTTGTACCACAATTGTTTTTTTTAATCACCTATGTTGGAAAAATAAAAGATAAAGGGGTAGGCAAATTATTTATTGACCTTTTCTTGCTGACTCTTAAAGATAGCCACCAATCAAAAACACTTTCTAGCTCTCATCTTCTTGACTGAAACACCTGGCTCTGGTTTTAATCAATGACTGGGTAAACATTAGTTTTTCTTTTCTAATGTACTCCATTCTTTCTATGTCTTTATTTTTCAACAGTGTTGAAATACATTTCTTAGAGTTTTCATTTGGGAAGTTACTATGAAATTTTATCTTCATTTCTGGTGCTAACTCTACTTTTCCTACACATTAGCTTCTCTGATTTGGGGTTATTATTCAATCACTACATTTTTGATAAATAATATTCTTTTCCGTCTCAGTTCTCAAAGGCAGGAAGTAATTGTGCTGCATTGTATTATAGTTTGAATATGTGTACAGTTGTCTATGAAGGCATTGATTAAATCCTCTGAATTTATTTAAACTGTAGCAGTGTTCTTCCTTGAACAAATATTTTAAATCATTGTTATTGTTGATATTAATACTAGTACTGACATATATTTCGTTGAAATAAAATTTTTTAAACTAAAATGGCTTTTTCAAAGTTCATAGGAAGCTATTCAAATAAATGAATTGGAACTCAGTGTGTACCTGCAATATAGAAAAGTTTTCTGGCATAGAAACAAAATATGCTCTTTAAATATCATAGACCAAACCAGCTTTATGCAAATTCATTTAGAGCACTTTCAGATTTATGTATTTAATAAAGCTGGATGGTGGTTCTAACTTACGTATTTAATGTCCTTCATTGTACAGTGATGTTCTTGTGACTGCCTGGAAAAGAATGATGACATTTTATTTAGTGTTTCTGCTAGATCAATCAATTCTATAAATGGCTTTCTAATGGGATACAATATATGCTTTTAATATTTTTCAATAATACTGAGAGATAACCTTTATTGAGTTCTTTCTATGTGCTAAGACTGTTCTATGTACTATCTATGGATTATCCCATGTAATCCTGGTAACAACCCTTTAATGCTCTCACTCTTTTACGGATATAGTAGAGGTATATGAGGAGAAGGTTATACAACTAGTAAGTAATGGAGCTGGTACTGAAACATCAGCAGTGTGTTGCCAGGCACGGTGGCTCACGCCTGTAATCCCAGCACTTTGGGAGGCCAAAGCAGATGGATCACAAGGTCAGGAGTTCAAGACAGCCTGGCCAACATAGTGAAACCCTGTCTCTACTAAAAATACAAAAATTAGCCGGGTATGGTGGCACATGCCTGTAGTCCCAGCTACTGGGGAGGCTGAGGCAGGAGAATCGCTTGAACCCAGGAGGCAGAGGTTGCAGTGAGCTGGGACCATTCCATTGTACTCCAACCTGGGTGACAGAGTGAGACTCCTTCTCAAAAAAGAAGAAAAGAAACATAAGCAGTGTGACTCCAGAGTTTGAACTCTGAACCTTTCCTACTCAAAATATGATCTTCAGGCCAGCGGTGTTACCATCACCCAGGAACTTGCTACAAATGCAGAATCTCAGAGCTGCTGAAAATCTGCATTTTTAACAATGTACTTAGGTGACCAGCACATGAAAAATTGAGAAGCACAGCTGTAAACCACTATACTATTCTGTCCTTAAATTCAGAATTAAGTATCTTTTAAAACACATTTTTATTTTTCTGTATGATGCTGAATTCCTATTTGATGCTAATTTTGGAATTCCTGTCATATTTCAAGTCCTTTATAATGAGATCTAGCAACTAAACATAAACAGGGATGCAAGGTAGTCACAATTTATCTTAAAATCAATTGTATAAAGAACAGAAAAAAAAACACCCAAACCATAAACAGAAAGCATTTATATAGAGGCAGGTAATTGTTCCAACATCTAAGACTTTCTTAAAATCCTAGTGTAGCCCACTGTCTTTGAATGTAGATTCTGGAGACAGGCTGCCTGGTTTTGAAACTCACCTCCTATTTCTAGCTGTGGAATCTCAGGAAAATTATGTAATTCTATACCTCAGCATCCTCATCTGGGAAATAAGGTCTAAAGCCACAGTCTACAGAATTGTTGTAAGGATTAAATTAGTTAATGCATATAAAGGATTTAGAAGGAAACCTCTAATGAGATAAGTGAATAAATATTAACCACTGTTGTTCTTAGCTATTATTTCCATCTTTGAATTGAATAGATTCACATCTCATACTTCTTGGCTATCTATTGGCAAGAAGTTGACAAATACTTTTCGTTAGCAGAGCTCACCACATAAAGGGATATCTTTGCTGTTAAGAGTCCAAACCACAAACCTCAGTTTTTGTATTTTCTGAAAACTGTCTTCCTGTGGCACTTCCTCTGTTCATGAGTTCTACTAAATGCCACTTGATTACGATACTTAACCAGTTAAGTTTAGTGTAATTAGTTCAAAGTGTTCAAAGTCAAAATGGAATGTGTTAACAGTATATTATAATTTTAAATATACGTACTTCTAAACTAAGTAAAATTAATGAGTATGCGAGTCCATTTGGTCAGCCTCTTAGGTAAGTAATACAGAAAAATTAGATAAAGAATATTTGTTTAAAGGTTGAATGGACTCAAATCTGGTTTGTTTCTTTCTGGATGAACATAATTCTGAAATGATCATGATAGTCTTTAGGGGAATGATGGTTTGGTATACAAGTACACACCTAACAACTTTTCAGAAATATACCTATGTGTGAAGTGAGCTGGCATGTTTTTGAAAAAGTACCACTTTGAAAGCTGATTTGTAAAATGCATTGAGATAAAAATGCTTAGTTAAAAGGATGCCCTGGGAAACTTTTCAATTGCCAAAGAGAGTTTAATTCACTAGGTCTGGGATGGGGCACAGGTATCTGAATTTTTAACAAGTATCCCTGGTATTTTGGCTTACATTAGTTTTGGACTACACTTTGAAATACCCTGCAGTAAAGGTAAAGACATGTATTGAAATAAGCTTTTGTTGACTTCACATTCATTTTTGCAGTGTTGTCCTCCTTAGTACTGTTTTTGTCCATCCTGTGACCTGACTTTATCTATCCTTTGTCTCTTTTCCCATTCTCTGTTAGTAGATCCCAACCCTTCATTTTCTGCTTTTTTTTTCTTTTTTACCTTTTTCTTAAATATATCTCTTCTGGATTTTTCAATCATAGCTTTACGGATGGTTCTATAAAATGATCATAAATGTCTCCTTTTAATCTAAAAATCTCTAAGCCAAACTACAGATGCTGAAATCAA